ACACCAGCTTTCATCTTATTCCCATATTATTTTCTAGACAACTCAAGTACCTTCTCTTTTATACCCTTGTTCATGTACAAGCTGAACAACACATTTATTACAAGTTTTCCTATCTATTGCTTTGATACCAAGAGATGCTGAAAACAGTTCCGTAACAACAAAAAAAATTTTTTTTAAACAAATGGCAAGCTTTTGCCTATAACGGCAATGGCCAATATTAAGGCCAGAAGTGGTAGCCATTTTATTATGGAGGCACCTAATAGGCCTCCACCATTACCTTCTATGAAGGGACAGACAATTTTACATCCATGTGTAACCGAATGTCCTCTACCAATATTTAGCAAAACTTCGACGTGCTTTTATTTGCCATTTGATTTATATAATACAGTCAAAAGTCGTTAATTCGGACCTCAAAGCTACAAACTTTCTGTGCATGCATCACGCTGACGCATGCGCGTAAGCCTTTACGGCTGCGAATATGCATATGTGCATGCGCATAATACGTTTACGCATGCGTGTTTAATGTATAACGGACGGTTAAGCTAAATTATCTAATTCAGTTAATGTTGCAGATTGCGTTGTTCCTTAATCTTCGAATTGGATCCGGCTTATTATTTTTTGCAGACTGTTAGAGCAATTTTATAAAAGTAAGCTTGAACTTTTGATTATGTCAAATAGAATTTCCGATTCTGGAGCTGCCAAAGGATCTACAAAGCGAAAGTATATTTCGATGTCCATAAAACAAAAAGTGAAATTGCTGTAAAAAATGGATAAAGGCATATCCTTTGTTTCTCTAACCATTCTGAAATCTGTTTATCAATTTCACGCTGCTCTGCGGGGGACGTCGCGGCGCACAATGGATTGGAAGTTGATCTGTCAGCACTATCCTTATCTTTAGGGCAGAGTTTTTATTTTATTAAGCTTATAATTCCTTACTAAATGTAGTATTTCATCTCGATGTACTCTGTCTTTGATAGAATTTAAATCAAATTCCTCGTCATTATAATTCACCTCCGATAGTGAAGAAAGTAACACAGAGGTTATTGAAAACGAAAAAATTTCGATTGACAAATTAGTCGGTATTCTCGATACAGCAATTATAGGACTTGAACAGCGGAACTTTGTAACTAAAGAAGAAATTATGTCTGTTTATAGAATTAAAGAGAAAGTATTATCACATAAAACGTAGCAACTTAAAAATAACATTGAAAGAAATGTTTAATAAAGTAAACAAATAAATATTAAGCTTTTTGTTTTTTGTAAATTTTGATACCCTTTAGATCATAATTGTTCTTTATTTCATAAATTACAGTTTCATATTTTTAATTATATAATTTCTGCATGCCATCTTACCAGATTTAAACTGATGATCTATAATCCGGGAAAATCGATAATCCGGAATCGCCGAAGTCCCGACGAGTCCGGATTAACGACTTTTGACTGTATTTTATTCAATGCTATACAGAATAACTGAAGAAAATTTTTAGACAATGATATTTGAAATATAGGTAAAAATAGGTTAGCAAGAAAATACAATTTTATGTGATGCACCATGTGTTATGCTTGTCTACAGAGCATAAGCTCATAAAATTGATTCTGTTTAAACTAAATGAACAAAATTGAGCCGGGAAAGAACTAGTAAATGAAGTAGTAATATAATAGAATGTGGAAGCATTTATAAGTTATTTTCAGTTATGAGTAAAAGTAAATCTTTATATTGTGTTTTCATGGATTTCAGATTTTTTAAAATACTGAGTATTGAAATTATCTCTTGTATTTTATTTGTTATCGAATTATTTTCATTTTTCATTTATATCATTCCAATACTTTTCATGAAAGAATTGTGCATCCATTTTACTGCTGATGATTTTTTCTAGGAATTGTTGGGCTTTTCGTGAAATAACAACCCAAAAAAATTGTGGCAAATTTAATAAATAATTTCTTTTCAATGATGTTTCATTTTATTTTAAAATGCATGCCCAATTTTATTTACCATTTGATTCTGATTAATAATGAAAATTATTGTAGGTTTGTAGGTTAGAGTGGATTTAATACCCTTGGATTATCGCTAAGTTGTTGTTTCATTTATTGCCAAATTGTTGTTATTTATGGTAACCTGAGTAGTTGAATGCTATGGAAACCCTATTATGATGTAATCGATTGCATGATTGCAGTGAATTTGAGTGATGGGAAAAGATTTGGAAAGGCTTGGCTGTGTGTTGGATTTTGGATAAGAAGTACGTTGTTATTTTGTGATTTACACAGTAAAATGGCTGTATGTGGTATTTGAAGAAATTTGTGGAAATTGAAGTTTCTGTACGATTTAGAACGAAACCAAAAAAAAGCAATTATTGACTGGTGTGTAAATAAAGGTTTCCTTACTAGCCATTATAAGTGTCCTGTTTGTTAGAAGGAAATGTGTATGAATGTCGGAGGATACCGCCACTACAGAGGATATTTTTTACTCTAATTTATGTGGCAACGCTAGTATACAGATTCTAGTTCAGATAATTTTAGGAAATTTTTGGATACTGTTAAGGAGTTTTGTTTGACTGAATACAACAAAATTTGTAACTAAGGTAAGTGGATATTTCCTGTGTGTAGTACTAAGATGAATTTCATTTTTTTATGTTATTTCATTGTTTGATTTAAAATGTAGTTTATTGAGAGGATATATTTTTTGTTGGCAGCTTTTTTTACTTCTATAGATTGATGTGTACATGGTCAAAGTCAAGGCAGTGCACACTACTTAGTTTGTGCAATTCTCTGATGTTTGTGTAACTAAAAATAGGTCGATGTGTACATGGATACTGAGTTAGTGCAATTCTTTGACTTGGCTTTGTGTAGCGGTGATTTTTGGGCGCAAAAATCACTGCTACACAAAATCTGCCAACTTAAGGCAACCGTGCTCATAACACAAACCTTCAGTCAAGGAACATTGTCATATTTGTATGCATTCTTTGTATTGTATAGTTATTGTGTAGTAGTTTTTTATAAACAGATCGTTATATTTTTTGCCTTTGCGAGGGAAAAATAGAACTTATAAAATATGCACTTATGGAATTGGCCAGCAGTGGAAGAAACTGCTGTGATACTTCTGCAGAGATACAGTTTTTTGCCACAAAATAAATTAAGGGAATAATGATCAGATTGTTTGGTAGGTGGCTAGCATATAGTGAAAAGTTTTGTGCAATTCTCTGATGTTTATTTTAAATGAAAACAAATCATTTTATATATGGGGAGGAAAATAGCACAGAAAAATTTCATTGAAATGTATAATGTAATCCTTATTGAAGAACTGAAATTTGTATGTTAAACTGCTGAAGTGTATTTTATTTCAATATGTTGGTGATGTTTCCTGATTTGCAACAAATATTGATAGTTTGGGATTATTTTGGAAAAGCCACTAAAATTGTTGCTAGCAACTGACAAGTAACTTCTGTTTTTTCAGGTGTAAAAGAATAGCCAAATTGTGCCAAGGCAGTTGCATTAATATTTAAGTATATTAAAAGCTTGATTCTCCAGAAATCTTGGGAAATGCCATTATCCAGATAGTTGAGCATATAGAAAACGGAATTCACATTAGAAAAGCCAAATCAGTGGGGGGGGGAAAATTTCTGCTCTAAAATTATAAAAAGCAATTAAACTTAGTTACGAACTAGAATCTCAAACACTTACATTTAAAATTATATAAGATTTTTTTAAAAAAAGTGCATTTCAGACATTAAAGTTGACCTATTTTATAGGCCTTGAACATGAAAGTAAAACATCTGATCTGATTATAAAATCCCGACAAACATGATAAGTGGTGGAGATGTTATCAATCATTCCAGCAGAAGCAGATTCTTCTTTAATTAGTTAGATAATAAAGAGACACAAATTATAGATATGGCATATAAAAAATTTAAATCACTTAGTCATAATTTTTCACATCACTTTGTCATTGTTAATCTTGTTGTTATTGAAGGGTATGTGTTGTTTCTTTTGTTGATATCAGAATCCTGTAACTTTGTAAATACTCCACTTCATGCAGTCTCAAACATTAATCTTGTTTTTAAAATGCGAGGAAAATCTAGAACTTATAAAATTAAACCAACTTATCGAGAATTAATTGAATTTGCATTAAAACAAAACAAATTTCTTAATGTTGTGTTGTAATGTCACATTTATCCATTATTGGCACTAAATCACACTGTTTGGCGACAATACAGGATGAATATAAAAAAGTGAGCAAAACTTTAGGGGATGATAGAAGGCAACTATACAAGCAATATTCGTCATGGAATGTATGGTCGGAACACAAACGACGAGCCTGCTAGGTGTCATTGTAAATGGTATAAAAGGGCCGGTCCTCACACCTAATGGCATTTTCTACCATGGATTGCTGAGAGGATAACTGGTTACACAAACCACGAAATTTCCAGGGTGATGAATTGGCGGAGGTGGTCCCATAGCTTGGCTACCAAGATCACCGTATCTCTCGTGTTTGGACTTTTTCCTGTGGGGTCATACAAAATGCTTAATCTATAGTTGCCCTGTTGAAACCAATATGGATCTAGTTGCCAGGATCACCGTTGTTGACAGCGATATTCGGGAAATCTCTTTGCAAACGTGCATCAGTCCCTATCCCGCAGGTGTGAAGCTTGGATTACAGCTGGGGGAAGGTCTTTTGAGCAATTTCTTTGAGCATATACATCAGTTACATTCCTGCTAATAAAATGTTTTCTGAAGTATCTCTTCTCATCTCTCATTCACTAAATTTTTGGGGAAGATTTTTTTTCCTAAATTCCGGTTACCGAGTTAAAATATTCTGGTTACTTGAGCTTTCCAGTAAGTTGAATGCTGGATAGTTACGCTTTTACTGTACCAAATTAAATGTATTATAAGTGATATGGGTAATTAATCATGTTAATTTACTTTATATAAGTTGTGTACATGGATTAGTCTCTTGTTTATGTTGATATTCATGCTATTCTTCATGTTCTCCTTATTGCTTTTAGATGTTAAACTGGGAGATTTATCTTCATCTGAAATAGAAAATGCAGCTAAAGAAAAAGGTAATTATGTATTACTAGCATTCTTCCTGTTCATTTCCAGTTTATGTTTCTTGATACCTTCAGATATTTTTATCGAACTGCCTAAGTCCCACCTGTTCATAGACAAAAGCACAGAAAATACGTCACTTATAGGGATCAGCAAGTCGATTAATAAAGTATTATAGAATAATTTTCTTTTAATTAAATGAAAGTCTTCAAATGGCAGAGAAATTATGCCAATTAAGGGATTTAATAACTAAATCAGTTCGACTGAAACTTCATTTTGAAGAGTGAAGTCAACAGCTATTAATTTCAATCAAGATTTTAAAACTAAGCAAAATGGCACTTTTACTTTGTTGTAGATTTTGAACAGTTATCGATTCTGAAGGCTATCAGGCAGGAGCAAAATAATTCTGCAGAATTTGTTTGTGTTCTGGGGGGGGGAGGGGGGGGAACACTTCCTGAAAACATCTACACCAAACTACGGTTGCTTTTTTGCCTAATTTAAAATTTTGCTTATTGACATATTCTCTTCTAGTGAGGAATGCTCTCGGAGTATTAAAACAGGATTACAGCATTGGTTAAATAATTTCCAGAAACTTCTTGAGCAGTTCATTAGTAAACTTTTGCATTAAAGACATTATAAACATTTCATAAATTAGCTTTTGCATTTTTGTAATTAAAGTTCTGTGAATATGTTAATTCATGTTTCTAGTTATATTTACATTAAGTTAGCTGAATTTCATTGCTGTTTTGAAGGATATTTTTCCTCTTCATTTAATGGAATGTCCAAACATTGATCGCATTAAATGGAGAGCACTGTACTATATTATCCACTCAATGCATTTTGAATTTCTCTTTCAGATTGCAAAACACAAGCTGTACCATCTACTCAAATAGACTGTGATGCAGAGAAAACAGGTAATTTCATATATTAACAGTTTTCACATATATGGTAGAATCTACATATTGTCAGTGACGTAGCTAGGTGTAAGGAAATGGGGACATTTGTATCCATAAAATTTTCTTTCTCTTTGCCATTCCATTTTGGCAGACAGGAGATGGCATGAAATATTAAGTGGCCTTTGGATGCTAAAAGTTCTAGCTATGCCTCTGCATATTGTGAAACCAAAGATTATGCAGATTAGTGAATTTTGTAGATTTATAATGTTCATCACTACTTGGACTATGCTGAATGTAGAGGAACCTAGTGGACTGTGTAGTGACTTATCACTGGATTCATGTGTATAACGACAAAGTCTATAGAAGGATTCTGATATCTTTTTATTCACTCAAAGAAATATTCACAGACAGCCTCTTCTCGGGCATACAAGGTAGTCTCCACTCGGGCTTCAAATCAAGATAATAAAAAATAAGAAACTAATGACTTAGCCAAAGCTAGACGCAATTACGTAACGTAGTTGGCCCTTAATTTAACTTAGCCCGTGATTATCAACAAGCACGTACAATATGGCCTAGCATAGTAGGTTTAATAGTGAAGTAGCCTGATGGCAAACACATGCCATGAAGGACTCCTAATCTCTCCTACTGAAGTAAGCTGAATCTTTCTTAAATACTCCTTCTAACTCATTTACATTCAACACGATTCTAAAAACTCATTCTGGTAGGGAGCTGTAAAGGAGAAACAAGAGTTGAAAGGAAAGGGTTTTAAAATAAAAAATAACTGTTATAAAATTAAAATACACCTTACAGATTATACATCATATTTTTTAAAATTTTGTGCACATTTCTTCCATCTGAATTTTTATATTGCTTTTGGATTGTTTGACCACAAGTAACTACCAAAGCATTTCTTACCTTAAAAATTGCTTTATCGAAAATTATAGAGTACAAAACTTTTATATTTTAAAAAAAGGATGCAGTTTGAGAGATCCTTTATTGTTGTGTCTTTGGCGATTCTGGATTTTGGAAATTTCCAGATTTTAAAGCATAGATTGAAATCCATTAATAACATGCAGACATGCCAACTTTGGGGGCTTCGCTTATTATTTAGGTCAAGAAGAAAAGTGCTGGCTTCCCCAAACAGGGTCAGTGCTGTCATTGACCCTGTTTGGGTAACAAAAAGTAGGGATTGCTAAATTTTTAGAATTTAGGGATGTACCAGGCCGCAGAATTTGAGACCCGCTTAGATTGTACAAGGCGGCAAAATGCATAGTCCCATCCCTTTTCTCCTCCAGTCACTCAAAAGCATAATCTTTGCCATTATCAAGACAATGTTATTCAGTGTATTATTATTGGATTTAGTTAGGCAATTCTTTAGCCAGCAGGTGTTTGAAAGTGAAGTGCAGGAATCTCAGTTAGTCTGGAGAAAAATCATATTAACTCTTTAAAATCCAGACCCTTTGCTAACCTGTATCCTCAAAATACCGAACCGCCCGAAATACTTTTCCAGTTTCTCAGCAACTTCCTCCCCTCCCCGTCCATTATTGCAGAAAATAGGGGTGAAAATTTTGAATGACATCTTTTGTTAAGCCTTTGACCCCGTTCTTTATAAAACTATTCTGAAGGTCAGACCAGCAAGCCTTTCTGGCTTTGTTATGATCACGACTGAGATTTTGTTTAATTCCGTTATTTTTATAGGAAGGAATAAATTGATTAAAAATAAATATGATCCTTAAATTTTTAAACTGCACTTTTATTGCTGTTTAAAGTTTAAAAGCACACTGTACCACAAAAGAATCAACAAAAATGTCACGAGCAACCAGAAGATAAGAAACCTCATAGGACAAGCTGTCTGCAGTAAACTGATACAATGCATTTGGGGAAACTGCACCTACTACTGCATATCTTAGGAGAAGGGAAGAAAACAAGATTACAATCTCGGCCGTTTTCGGACAGTTCTGATTGTTTCAGTGTAGGGCCGTGTGGGGCGAATTGGTTGTGAAAGAGTTAATGGTACAATTGCTTCCTTTTGTTAAGTAGTATGTTCCATTTTTAGATTTTGTAAGTAGGGGAGAATTTGTTTTTATTATTATTTTATTTTATATATTTATTTTTGCCTTGGTCCAGATTTCAGGCTTTGTGTTGTATGTATAAAGAAAATATTGTTTGTACAAGGGAAAAATATAATGAAGATAAATAAGAGGTGAACATTTTCAGGAAGCAAAGAATTTTTTTTATAAAAATGGATTAAAAGAATGCATCTAAAAAAACTGATTAATTCACCAATGAATCTGTTTTAAAAATAATTTTTATGCTTTTAAATGAAAGCGAAAATAAATAAATGAGGCATTTTAAGAAAATCCTTTTAGTAAAGTTTTCCCTAAATTCAATCTCTACACTAATTTCACCATTACATTCTCCCATAAATGTGCATTTAGATAAATAATATTACTAACAGTTACAAGAAAGTACTAGAAGTGACATTTTGGATTCCTTAATGTACTTTCGCAAAAATAAATAAATAAAAAATAAAAACTATTTTTGATGTCAGAAAAATTTCTTCACGTATTATTTTAAATAATCTTCTCATTTGTCTCTGATACAAGACAGCTCAGCCCACTAGTGGCCGAATTATAAAGTCGCTGTACCTGGTTGTTTGATCTGAGGTTTGAATTCTGCAAAGGTGCTGGCTTTATGAGCATTTTCATGGTTTTCCCCATGTGTAACATGTATATGAGACAGTTTCTCTTAGAAAGTGCTCCACGAAGGCATCCCTCCCCTTAGGCAAATAGCCCTCGAGGCTTTGCTGTAATCACATAAACCAAACCATAAGCCAGCTCACTGTTTGTGCTGTGTATAAACAAAAAGTTATGAGATAATATAATTCAGTATCTGAGAAATTGGATGAGTAAATTCTTTATACGTGCTAATCATGTAAACTCTAAACATGCTATTTAGGAGAGATTTATCTAAAATTAAAAATTTGCACAGATTAGCAATCCATTTTTATTTTTAAAAATGCACCGGTACTATTCCGTTTTCAGGACCGTAAAAAATTGCAGTGAAAATATATAGGCAAAAGCGCCAAATCTAGCAAATGCGCCCATTTAACAGTGCGCCAAATCTAGCGTATGCGCTGATTTCAGATTGCGTAAGTTTATATAGTTCTATATTTCTTCAGACGCTATTGAAATACCAGTTTAATTTTTCATTTTAAATCCTTTTTTGATATCCTATGGATTTAACAATTTGGGAATTGCCTATGACGAAAAGTGTGCAATAGAATTTTGTTTAAAGTGCAGAATCACCCACTGCTTGATGCATTTTTAAGAATTGCACATACTTGGTATCCATGTACACATCGACCTATTTTCACTTAAAAAAAAATCCTAGAATCGCACAAAAATGGCACTGCGCACACCCATGACTTTATCTATGTACACGTTGACCTATTTTCACTTAAAATGTAAAAGAAAATTGACAAAAATCCAATTGTTGTTACCCTTGTAAAAAGCGGCAAACAAATAAGTGGGCGATTCTGCACTTTACCGAGAATTTTTTCAAAGAAAAAAAGGCATCATTCATTATAGAAAATTATGTTTGAATAATCAACAATATAAAACTATGCTTTAGTGATAACTCGGTAGCAAAATAGCGATGCAGACATCCATTCAGTTATGTTTAGCAATTTTTATATAAATTATAATAATGATCTGAAATAGTTATTTACTCTTTTGTTTTCCATTCAGTCATGTTTGTTTAGCCTTTTTTATATAAATTATAATAATAAAAAAGTATTATATGAAATTAACCTTTCATCTAAATTAAAACATCAATCTTAGATAGTTATTTACTATTATAGTTCCTTTCTTGTGTTAGGGTTGCCGCAATTATTTTTGGCAGCACTGGTATCAACAGTAGTTTGGCGATTTTTTACGGCCCTCAAAACTGAATAGTACCAATGCACCATAGCATAAGGAGAAAAGGCTAAACAACTTATACTTTCAATAGTAACTTATTTCATCATGTGTTTCCTTACTGACTTTAGTGCTAGTTTCCGAAATTTGTAAAAATATTCACATAACATAATAATCACATAATTTACATGTATAATATTCACATAACATAATTTCTTCCTCTGTTGTGCATAGTTTGGCCCTCTGAGGGCTAGTTTATTAGTTAATACCCTTGATTGTTTTTACTTTTATTCAGTGTATTCAATTCCTATTTGCCATTTTGTGCATTCCATCCATTTTATTTTTCCATAGTATTTATTAAATGTACTTTGTGAAGATTCTTCATTAATCTACTCGTATGTGACAGATGTTCTCACACTTAACCCATTCTGGACTGTCCAAAGGGGAAAGAAGCGCTTTCCGAGGTCTGGGCACTCTAAAAGCATACGCAGGCACAAGAGCAAGCAATTTTTCCTGTTACGTCTAATTTCATTTAAAAATTAATTTAAAATCATTACTGCAAACACTGACATTTTAAAACACTGAACTTTACAGTGCTTAATCATTGATAGTATCAGAATATGCAGTGGCTAATCGCACCGACGGTCCGAATAGCGTGTAGGCTAATCACACAACCTGTGTTAGTGCATGTACACAGTCAGGCCAGGTACAGCCATTTTACGCCGATTTGCCATAAGGCAGGTGGAGTGTTGTTAACCCTAACTCAGTGATAGCGAGAGTTGTCAACAGTTTCTGCTTATCTTCCTTGAATGCGATTTCTTTGTTAATTAATTTTTAGTTATTGTTACTGAAATTTACGTGTTATTTGTTTGACATAACTTGAGGACGATGGATGTGACAAAAACAAATCTCTTTTAACTTTTGAGTGTGGAAACAAGTTTTCCGTATATTTTGAATTTGAAAGGGCAAAAGAACTATATGAAAATCAAAATTTTGCTGTTTTGACTAAAACGAGAACGGAAAAATTTCACGAGCATCATAAACATTGTGAAACACTACTGTACAAACATGTTACCTTTGAATGTAAAAAAGGACATATTCATAAACAGTTATATTCATATTCATAAAGAGATAAATTCTTTTATTTAACACAGAAATATTTGTGCAAACTTAGACCCTAGTCTTATAGCATAGAACTGTCAGAATTTATTATTGAATAAGAAAACGTATTGAAAATTCTTATATATGCATTACTTTTTCAGTGTCCACACATGTTTATAGATTCAAATGCCATATTTCGAAATCAAAGTTACTTATGAAATAAAATTGTATAAAATCTGATAATTCATTTGCATGTGCAAATTTTTCAATCTAAATCTCTTAAGTTATTTTTGTCTTTTAAATTACATTCCATTATTTATTTAAATTTAATTAATTAATGTGTCTGTACTAATATTTCAAAGAACTTTGAAATATTTTTTGTGTTCTGAAAATGAAGAATATTTCCATAGAAAATTTAAACAACCATACAAAATTGTTAATAACCAGTATTATATGATTAATTGTTAATTTAATAGTTTATTTTATCGCTTTTAACTTATTTCATGTCTAAATTTTCTACGCAGATATACTCTAATTTTTAATGTCCCTTTTCTCAGACGAAACATTTCAAAAGAGGAATGAACAAAAATCTTGATTGTGCAAAACACATATTTGAATCTAAATGTATTCTAAGAAGTATAAAAAATATAAATGAGGTTTAAACCCCTTCCCCCGCAATCAGTCATTTAAACTATTCCAACCGTTCAGAAGATCGAACAGTTGGAATAATTTGAGAACATAAAAATCTCAGTTTTATTATATATATATAAATAAAAGAAGCAAGTTTCTTCTTTTTATGTATATAAGAAAAGGAACACATTTCCTTTTCTAATCTTTTGAAAGTCGCTAACGCTTTAAAAATGATAAACTACGTCAACGTAGTAACCGGTTCTTTAAAAAAAAAAAAAAAAAAAAAAAAAAAAAAAAAAAAAAAAAAAAAAAAAAAAAAAAAAAAAAAAAAAAAAAAAAAAAAAAAAAAACGAGAGAGAGAGACTTACAACAACAGACTTTGGCAGTTTGCGAACTTAGGATTCCTTCTTTTCGATTCGGTTCAAATGACAGATCCAACAACTCAAAGTGTGGTTAGTGTTGGTGCGAATAGCATCGGCCATCAGAATATGCTGTAATAAAATTTACGTGAGGTTAGAAAAAAAATTGCGAATTTTAAAGAAAATGGTTTTATTTTAATAAAAAAAGTACACTGTATACCAGGGATGGGCAAACTACGGCCCGCGGGCCAACATCGGCCCCTCGGAGAATGTTCTATCCGGCCCGCGGATAGAATTTTAATTTGCGGTATGAGGAAAATTAAAAGAAATATGTATTTATATATTATATATCCATCTCCTTTTTTCTACTTTAAATATTATTTTTTCTTCCTTTTTGACAAAGGACATGATCATTTTACTTCCTCTATTTTTGTTCTACAAAACATAAATCGACGGAAATAGCAAGCACAGACAGTTTTCAATTGGTAAAGTGTTAAAAGCGGAAGTTCTTTATTAGTTATGGCTGTAGTTTGGAACCAACAAGCGTTATCTCTTTCTCAGGGAGCAGACATATGGGAATCCAATATAGGTGAATTAGACCTCACATGTGGCAGACTGCGCATTTTAAACTCCAGCCAGCAGCTTTTTCTTTACGGCGCGAGTTCTAATATTATTGATTGCGTATGGAAAGTTTGTGGACTATAGCATCATTGTAAATAGTGGTGAAATCATTAAAAGTATAGCGTAGCTAGTGCTTGTTTGAACAAGTAACTCCAACAATGGTTTACTCGTAAAATATTTCAACCCCAAAATGGTTACTAAAAAACGTAAAGTTGATTCAGAGGGCCATACATTTAATGATGAATGGACATGGAAATAATTTTTTACAGCTGTAGAAGATAAACCAGTGTGTCTCATCTTCATCTGTAGTGAAGCTGCAGCATTCTTCAAAGAAGCAACTGAGAAAGGACATTGTGTCGAATGGCTTCCATGAGAAACAGTGTTCTGCGGAGTGCAAAACGATAGAAGATACAGAGTGCCTTTCGGACATTGCATTTTTCACAGATCTTCTTTGTCATATGAGCAACTTGAATGTCAAGATGCAAGGGAAAAATAAATTTATCGACGATATCTGGGACCATCTCAAAGCTTTTAAACTAAAATTAATCTGTTTGCTGGGCAGCTACCTAAGAACGACTTGTCTCATTTTCCAAGGTTAAATTCAATACCCTCAGTAAATAAGGAGAAGTTTAAGAATTATGAAGATGGCTTGAAAAACTGCATTTTCGAACGCCAGATTTCAAGATTTCAGTGTCATTCAAACAGAATTGGATATTTTTACCATGCCTTTTAACGTAAACTGTGGAGCAATAAGGTAAGATCTGCAGCTTGAATTAACTGAGTTGCAATCAAACAATCATCTCAAGCAGTTGTTTCTAAATATGCCAAAGTTAAAGTTTTACAAATCATTATCGAGTAAGTAAGGTTCCCAAATTTAATAGCTCACACTCAGAAAACCAGTGCTAGGTTTGCTTCGTCTTATATACGTGAACAAGTGTTTTCAACTATGAACTTTACAAAGAATTATTTCAGAAGTAGACTGATAGATGAGCATTTAGCCTCATTCCATAGAACCAGTCACTTCGAACCTCCATATAAGGAACTTTTAAAAAAATGAAATCGCAATTTCATTCATCCCATTAACATATTTAAATTGTAATACCTGTATATTGTTTTTTAAATTTTTGGAAAATTTATCTTGGCCCGCCGCCAAACTTTTTTTTCCGATTTTTGGCCCGCAACCGAAAAGGTTTGCCCATCCCTGGTGTATACTGTCGGGAAAAATAAATTATAATTTCCGGGCAGTGAAAAAAAGTGGATATTTTAAAAAATTGAACAAAATACTAGTAAAACTACATGATATGGCCAAACAAATGTCATAATTATAACAAAATGAGTTAACTGTTCACATTTGTAAAGTCCTGTTGCTGTCCGTCCTCCTGAAAGAATCAAACATTTGCTGTTATTTACATGTTCAAATTTCCCTGATCCAAAAGGAAAAAGGGGGGGGGGAACTCAAAGTGCATATGGAAGGTCAGCGTCCTGTGAAACATATTTGAAAATATAACAAACTTCAACTATCATCTAGTGTTATTTAGAAACTTAATAAAGCATTCTGATTAGAAATCACTTTAATGTGATAAAGTGCCTTGAGACTTGGAAAGGCTAGTCACATACATGATACCATCAGCCACTAAGAGAGAATCGTATGATCATGTCTGTGTTATTACACTGTTGGAAAGGTTAATAAGTGTTCCAAACATGCGATTTCACCTTACTTCTGTTATTTACGTGCCAGATTATTGTAGCCTTATCTACTACATTTGTGATCTTTTGAAATATGGGTCTTTTGCTCATCCACTTCTCCTTCCTTCCTGTGATTCTTTCTCGTGAGCTGCAAGATGGCTCATTCATTGTGAGATTCTCCTCGCACTGTACAAGGTAATTGAGGTGGATAGGTTGCACTTTGTGTGATGTGTTCAGCTTAGTTACCATCAGATATTGGTTGGAATACAAGTTTTTTTTAAAGGAATAATATTGCAATAGTTACCAGTATTTTATCCATGACTACTTTTCTTTTCTTACTGTAACCATGCTCTTCAGAAATTAAATGGCTTGCATATTTTTCCTCTCAATTTTTGGAAAATAAAAATTAATTAAAAAAAAAGGGAAAGTGTGTGTGGAAATACAGTAAAACAAATTTGTTTCTTCACCAAAATATACATAAGTAATTTTTGTAAAAAAATGTATTTGTATAAATAATAATAATAAAAAAAAATCGTAAACTTTCCATTCTGAATTTCTGACATTCAAAAGTTTGTGTGTTTGTGTCAAATCAGATTGTAGGCAGATGTTAATGAAGTGGTTGCGGTCAGAATCATACTATGTATTTCTGTAGTTGTTTCTAATTTAACTATGTAGTTGCTTTCTAATTTTTTTTTTTCTTTTAGGTATTAGAAACAAAGAACCATCACCTGTTTCAACAGAATGTAAAGTTGAGGAAAATGGTAAGCCTTTCCATTACATTGAATGTTTGGATTTGTGTGCAGTTTCTGTTTTCTCAAATTTTATTGAAATTAGGTTTTCTTTGATTGATGCCATTTCCTTTAAAGTTCTGAGGACTGATTTTTTTTTTCTTCTTTTGTCGACTGATATCAGATTTCTGTATTTCTTTTAGGTATTAATCCTCAAACTGAACATACTGTTAAAAGTGAAAATTGTAAGGTGTCAGAGGAAGGTAATTATATCATCCATCATCATATTTTCATCTCTATGCATAATATGAAAATGATTTGATGTAAAGTAATTTTTGTAAGTTTTCTTTATGTAGAATAATGTTGTCTGGTTCTTTTTCTTTCAAGAGTCTGTAAAAAGGGAAGTATTATTTTAAAATGTTGACATTTAAAAGTTGTGATTTAAATTTCAAAATTTAATCTTAAGTTTGTGATTTTTTTAAAAAGATTTACATTAAAAAAATTATCTGTATTTTATCTTCTTGTCTCTTTCTCTTTCTTTTTTTCCTTTTATCCATCCTCTCTCTCTCTTTTTTTTTTTTTTTGGATGAAGTGAATTTTTTTTTTCTGCCGGACAATATCCTAATAAAATAGAAGAAAAAAGTAAGTATTTCAGGTGTACAATAATGTTTACTCTTTCTTTATCACTCACAGAATTAAAATTTGAGGCAAAATAGAGGATTATCAGGAAAGAATTATCTGATTACAAAATTGAATATTTTCTGTAATTACAAGTAGAATATGTCATTGTAAAAAAAAGTGTTAAATTTTTTTCATGAGTGTCTAATATGACTTCCTTTAATCATCCATATAGTATGACTGCAATGTGCCATTATTTTGCCAAGCACATTGTAATATTCCAGCATTAACTGTTTGTAAAGCATCACAAATGTGTTGTTTATGTTCGGGGAAACTTGTATGGTGATATAAACACAAGATCTTTGGCATATTCCCAAAGGAAGAAGTCACTTGGGGCTAAATCAGGTGACTTAGGAGGGTAGCTGTGTAGAGCCAAATCATGGGCTGCCCTGCAACTAATCCAGTGGTGTGGTAGTTCTCTGTTTATAAATTTACAAACATCAAAGTTCCAATGTGGCAGTGCACCGTCTTGTTGAAAAATGAAATTTCGCCTATCTTCTTTCAACTGAGGCAAAAACCAAATTTTCAACATATCAAGGTAGGTAATACCACTCGCTGATTTTTAGCCCTCCCCCCCTCCAAAAAAAAAAGGTCTGTAAACCTTTGATGAAGACACTGCACAAAAGATGATGACTTTTGGTGAGTTCCTTATGCATTCTATGTTGGCATGGGGATTTTTCAATCCCAAAATTTGCACATTATGGTGATTAACTTTGCCGCTTAGGACCTTCGTCACTAAATATGAGTTTATTGCAAAATGTTCATTATGCATAGCTTCATCCATGAAAAGCACAGTGACGAGTTGCAATGTCTAAATGAGTTAGACATTGCAACTCGTCACTGTGCTTCAATGCTTGCGTGCTTTGCAATTTGTAAGGCTAAAGATGAAGTTTTTTTCTCAACAAAGTCCAAATGGTAGGCTGAAGTATCCCAAGTTCATCACTAGCAAGAACTGTCAATTTCTTTGGACTACGTAAAAAAGTCTCTTGCACTCTTTTCGTCATTCTCTGCCTAAACACCTGGTAGCCCTGGACAGTTTTTCTTTGCATAAGCATCCAGTTTTCTGGAACTGGTTATACCACCTTCTGATACTCTGAGGTGTCATTGCTTTAGTTGTATAGTACTTTCTCCTAAATTCATGCTGAATAATGTTTACTGGCTGCAAATTACACTGCACTGCTTACTTCTTGCAAAGGAGAGCAGAAAAAAGGCCTTCTCTTGCTTAAATGACATTTCCATTTCTTTTCAGAATTTGAAAAACAGCTTAATGACAGCAGTGCTTCTACTCGTGAAAAAAGAAGAAACAAGGCCGATGAAGCAATTTACTTTGAAGGACTGTTAATTTCTTTTTGACATTTTGCGCCGATTCACGATAAGCGTTGTTTCACTTTTTGAATTGTTGCCACCAAATATTATCAACCTGTTATATTTAAAGAAATTAAATAGTGAAGAATCTGCATAAATATATGTATGTTCCTCGCATTCAGACAAAACAACATACCTAGAGCCATCAAATTTTGAATAATGAAATCTTCCACTGAATATGGGCATCTGGAAGCCCAAATTTGGAATTTGAAATTTGTTTTATTATCAATTTCATAATTTGTAACACTTTAACGAATTTTTGATTAACAAACTCAACGATTTCAAAGCGAGCCATGGCAACACTTTACGGGGGGGGGAGACATTTTTATCTCCAGCGTGCGAGACTGTCCATCGGAAATTCTAAAGCTTTGCTCATTTAAAGATTATTTTGCAATATTGCTGTTGAATTGAATTTTTTGGTTTAAGTGCAAAGAACATGATATTTAATAAATAAAAATAACACACAAAACATTAAAAAAATGCCCTTTGGGTATAATGTGAGATCTGAAAGCATTCAGATTTTTTTCTCCTTTATTTTTTTTTTTTTGTATTTTTTCCTCTGTTTGTAGTTATGAAAATATTAAATATTGTTATTAGATGATTTTTTCTTGATAATCCTATATATAAACCTTTAAAAATTATCTTGTTTATGCTAAAATTTGAAAATTTTATCTTTATTTTTTTTATTTTATTTTTTTTTTTTTTAAGATTTACATTTTGATTTTTAAGAATTTACCTGTATGTTATCTTTCTTCTCTCTCTCTCTCTTTTTTTTTTTTTTTTTTTTTTTTTTGGGAAGGAAAGGAAAAGTCTTCTACTGGAGTATTTCAAGTTAAAATAAAAGAAGAAGGTAATTATTTCATGCGTGTACAGTGATATTTTCTCTCTATTTTTATTTCAATAAACTTTGCAATGGCGAGATATATAAGCTTAAATTATTAGAAAATAGTAGGTGCCACTTAATGTGATTATGCTTGTCCATGACTGTTTTGATAACATTAGATGATGAGAAAAGTGTGTCCTTCAAAATATCAATGGAGATAAACTAATTTAATATAATTAACTGCTAACATGTAAACACTTTCCTAGATTTTCAGTTACTGAAAAAGTTATTATTAGTGTTTTTTTGCAGTCCTTGTATGAACGTTTATTTTTGAACTGTTCATATTGATTACGGAAATGATTTGTCGCATGCCGTACTTAATTACATTGACATGTACTTAATTACATTGTCGCATGCCGTACTTAAACCCATTGACGAACACGGGGGGTTATGTCATTAACATATTGCACATAAGGCAAACACATTACTCTCAAATTACTCAAAATTACTCAAAATCTCGTTCCTCATAATTAATTATCTGGAGAAAAAACAGCTTAGATATAGTTCAGATTAAGAAAGTATGTATAATTTATATTGTAGAGACATTAGGTTATTTCGAAGCAGGAGACATGAAAAATGCGCAATGCCTTCGACGGAACATCGGCTCTCTTGAATACATGCCGAGTGTACTGACCATTACACCACGAAGGTATGCTAAGAAGGCAGGAGAAATGCCTTATAATACAAACTTAAATATTATTGTAATTGAAATGAAGTAACTTACTAAACGCTTCACTGCAAGAAGTGCAAAGGTTTTCAATACTTCTCATAAATGTCTTCTTCTTTCTTCATATGGGTCAACCTTCATTACAAAATCAAGCAGTTCCTTGTACCTTCTTCTTCACTCTCGCTGCTTTCACCATCGGCTGGTGTTATAAAATTATCCAATTCTTCATTGGTCATTATGCCTTTTATTAAATTGTATTTTGGACACAACCTTTCCTATATCTCTTCTTTTTAGTTCATGCTTTCTTGTTAGAATGAGATTTTAGTTTTGGGCATTATACAAAATAGGGTAGAGAGCTACTATTTAAACTGGTGTCTGAGTTACTTCAGACAGAGCTTGTTCTGCCTTTTGTCCATGTTGTTTCCCTGCTAGCGTTAAGCTTGCTATTTTATGGCCGTGCATATTAATTGCTGATTTGTCTACTGCAGTGGTAACCAAGAGCCAACTATGCATTTAAATATTTCTTTATAGCTTCGGCAACTTTTTTAACTTAGGATTAGTTTTCATTTTACATTACTATTTAAAGTTTCTGCCAAAAACACTGCCGAGGCCCCTTAAGCACCAGAAGTGCCATCTGTTCATATTATTCTTTAGATGAAATAAAAGAGTCTTTTCACTCTTCTTATGTGTTGTTGAACTTCACAGTTCAAGTTAACATCTAGACTTCCAAGTAACTTTAGTTTAGCTAAAATCTTACACAGATTAAAAAAAAAATGAGCATTTGTTAATGATCATCTATAAAGATCTAAAGCTTAAAAACAGCAGAGGAAGTTTTGGCACAAAAAACACAAGCTGATCTAGAATTCAGCTTTCTTAACTGGTTCATTTGATCTTCCTAAAACTTGGAAAGCTCCCACCTGTTTGCCTGAGTTCAGATTCGGGCTGATGGGCTGACTGCAGCATTAGTTTTCCCAATGTGTAATGTAGATAAGAGCAATTTTCTCTTACAAAATCCTCCACAAAAACATTCCTTCCTTTTTAGGTAGATAGTCGACATATGCTTTGCCATATTCCTGTAATCTAACAATACTAACCTGAAAGTTGGAAAGTGAGTTTTTTGTGTATGGTTTCCTAAAGCCAAAATCAGTTATTTGTTAACTTAATCTCTTACGTGTAGATATTTCTCTGTCATTCAGCAATTCCTATGCTCTATTTCAATCTTATTTGTTGATTTTACCATTTATTTGGCAAATTTACTCCAGTTTAAAAAACTCATTCTTTAAAATTTTGATCACATTAATCAATTTGCTGATTACAATAATTGATGTATTTTCAGTGTTTTTGTATACAAATGGATGAGACTTTGGCAGTTTGATAACAACACCCGAATGATTACATTAATTGTGGTAATAACATAAGTGGCAACTATTCTATCTTATTTTAACATTTCAAAATTTTTCATTATTTCTGATTTTTCGTAAATTAATATTTTTATTTTTTATAATTATTATTTTTTTAAATTTTTCTTCTAACATCTTACTTTTTTCACTCTGTTCTCTCTCTCTCTCTCTTCTCTTTCTTTTTTTTTTTTTTTAAATTAAGTAGATGATTCTTTTCCCGCTGGAGAATGTCCTGTTAAGGTAGAAGAGGAAGGTATTTATTCCATTTTTTTTAGTAAAATTTTCTCTTTCACTTCTTGTCTGCAAGTTATGTAGTGTAAAATAATCATTCAAGGTATAGAAAAATATTTAATGTTTTTAAGCTATATTTTGTTTCTGCACTGCATTATGAACTATCTTGCTTTTAGGTGTTATAATGGAAGAGCCCGCAGCTGTTAAACCTGGATGTAATGAAAAAGAAGCAACATGTCCAAAAGAAAAAGTAGAGATTGAAACGAAAGCAAGTATTCAGGAAGCAGTCTGTAGTAAAGAAAAAGCAGAATGTAGTCAAGTGACTCAAAGAGGTACCTATTCATTAAATCCATTACATTAATACCTTTGCAAAATTTGCTTTAAATAATAAAACTGCTTGATATTAAAAGCATTTTGATGCTTTCTGATTATTTGCATTCCCGAGAAAATTTGTCAACTTTCCGGTTCTGTGTTGCTGGGCAAAATACCATATTTCTAAAGAAATCAAATGCTTTCTCTGTCATTTCTATGGGGGGGGGGAAGAAAGAAAAGATGTTTTTGCTGAGCATCACAAGTTACCAATCTGCTCTTGGATTCACTCTTGCTAATGCAATTTTTTCTTCTTTTTTTACTTTATTTTTAGCATCACTTTCTTCATACTTACACCACATAAAATTCATGAGCAAAGTTACAAAATATTTAAAAACAGCATATCTTAATTCCTGGTAGTATTAATTGGTTACCATATATATATATATATTTATATTTACTGTATTCTTTCTTTAAAAACTAGCTGCATAAAAGCTGCCTAACATAAAAAAACTAGCTGCCTAACATAAAAATATGTAATATTTCTGGTTAGATAGCTCATGATTTAAATGCATTTTTTTTAACCCCTTTGCGCCGACTGTCACGTCTACGTGCCAGCAACGAACACACTCACTTCCCGGCCGACACGCAGGCGTGCCAGAGCATTTTCCTATTCAGCCCCGACTGTAACGTATTTGTGCCAGTGTCCTGGAACGTTTTAAAAACTATAATTTCTGCCACAAGATGGCATTGTATGTCCATATGGTTTCAGATACATGTACATTAGACCTTCTACTCAAAATGAAAGAAGCATGACTCACATACACGTGTTTTTGATTATATAAACAAAAGGGGAAATAAATCTTTCCGAATGGCGTGCTTTATGATGTCTCTTTAAATTCGCACGTGGTAGTTGTTTATTGTAAGTAGAGACGTTTTATTTTTGCTAAAGCGTTGGGTATTTCGGTTTGCAGTTCAGTATTTAGAAAATAATTAGATCTTGTTAGATGTGAATTCTTTCTGTTTTTACCTTGCAATGTTGAAGCGTCGAAAATGTTTAACAGAGCATGAAATAGCAGAAATGATGCAAAATATTTCAGATATTGATTCTGAAACAGATTCTGATAGAAGTGATAGTCATACTATGTAACGTAGTATCACTAGGTAGGATACTACGTTACATAGTATCACTATCACATTTTCCAGAACTTTGTTCAGAAGATACTGATAAGAAAATGAGACGACGATGCTTCGTTTGTTCAAATTCCCGGAAAAATCCTCCAAAACGGAAAATGAGTTATTACAAGTGCAAGGAATGTAACATAGGACTGTGTGTAGATCCCTGTTTTCAAATTTTTCATACGAAAAGAGAATTTTAAGTAATATATTTAGTTTTCAGATGTATAATGTTAAAAGTCATAAAATGGTGAGTAATGAAAATAAAATGCTCTGCTAAGAAGTTTCTGCTAAGAACTACCAAGCTGGTCTATTGAAGCAGTTTTCTTGGCTGTGACTAAAAAATGAATTGATGCCTTTCCTAATCAAGCTGTCATGTAATGCCAAGTTATCTACAGTAAAATAAATTATATATATGTGGGGTTTACTTTCAAAAGAACATGGTAGAGCACAAGTTAACCATAATTAACTATTTTATTTTACTAATAGGAAATAAATTAAATAAAAGATAAAAAGTAAAATTTAATAGTTCATATGGCAATCTCACGATGAAACAGTTCTACAGGATTTATGTAACGATGGCTAACACACAGTCCTCAATAAATACATTCAAAGGGCCTGTCTGCCCTTGTGTGGCTAACTTGATGGAGGATTCGCAGGCCATCTGCCTACTTCCATCCCATTTCGCAGCTATCGCTCTGTGCGTTGATTACATCTTTGAACCTCCAATGGTAATCTGCCGCTCTGCAAGCTGCGTTACGTCATGGTTCTGCTGAGTTGAAGTTGAAGTAAAAGTAGTTGAAGAATATACTTCTACACTCGGCCATACTGCAGGGCATCGTTCTCGATGTCTGTAGTGGACATCACCATCATCCTCAGGTACCTGCAAAAAGAATTTTAAAAAAAAAAAAAAAAGAGAGAGAGAGAGAGAAAAGAGAGAGTATCAGGTCCTTAGATTTGAGCTGATACAATTATCAATCAATTTGACCATGGCTTCATATAGTCTGCCGCAGTAGATGTCATATTTGGTCTTTCATGGAATCCTACTTTTTTGACTTCATATCTGTCAACTACTACTACTAACTTTTTGCATGAAGTTTACTGCATCGTTACATTAAAGAAAAGACCCCGATATTCCTTTGCGAGTCCTTTTATAGCCTTTGGAAAAGCGGAGCTTTTAAGAAATGACGTCAGCCTCGTCAGCCATTCCAGTTTGCTTTAAATATCTCCAGAACATTCTATAACTGTACGTGTAGAAAAGGCGGGAAAACACAACTTGACAATGGGGCTGTGGATTTAATTCCACGTACTTTCAAATAAGAGACCGTCCCCATTAAAAAATGAAAAGAACATACAGTTAGAATTTTAACTGTATTTTTGACTACGGAATTTTATTAGTACATATAGCTAACTTGGAAACTGAACTCAAAACTTTGAGAACTGAAACTTTTACTCCATATTGGATAATTGAAACTCCATATTGGAACTGAAACTCCACATTGGATAATTGCGCACTTTTAGCTTCAGCTCTCCTGCAGCCAAGATGCTACTTTGCTCTGTTTGCTTTGTTGTGCCACTAACTGTGTGATGCTATATATAAAATTGTGGGGTGCATATTCTGCCCATGATCATGTGTGATGAAAGATATATTTTTGATAATTAGTTCATATCCACCAATATAAGTTACATTAAATTCGGTTACGTCTGTCTACAAGTCTTTCCTTCGAGTATCATCTTTCTAACTATGCAGAAAGTCTCCCCAGGATATAATGCAGAGAACATTCGTCAATCTGTTGCAGCTTACTCCAAGTCACTGTAATATATATACACTGGATATCATAAATTAAGGAAAAATCACGATTACTGAAAAAGTTACATGTAGAATTTAATGAAACTTACCCACTATATGTAACACATAGTAAGGTATCAAATAACATAAAAAGGAATTACCAGACAAGTATGGTAGTATAGAAATTAGCACATGTTTAAAATGAACAAATCGAAGGTGTCAGTTTGCTATAGGAAAAATACCTTCAATATGGAATATGATCACCTCTAGAAGCAATACAGCACATACAGCGATGTGTGATGCTTTCAATTATGCGGTCTATCAGTTTCATAGGAAGTTAGAGCCATTGCTCTTGCAAAGCAGTTGCAAGCGCGACAAGGGTCTGAGAGAGAAGCTAGACGTCTCCCTAAAGCATCCCAAACATGCTCGATGGGATTCAAGTCCGGGGCTCGAGCTGGCCACTCCATGCGCATAATTGTTTCCTGTTGAAGGTAATCATCTATGATGCGAGCCCTGTGTGGTCTTACATTGTTGTCCTGTAACAGGAAAGCATCCCCTATAGCCCCAGCATATGGGCGAACATAAACATCAGGGATGTCATTTCTGCAAACTTGAGCATTCACGGTTCCCCTTGGAAAGACATGGAGGTCTGGGCATCCAGCCAAAGAGATGCCACCCCCAAACACAGATGCTGCCTTTTCCGTATGCATCTCTTTCACGGATGTTTGACGGATGACAACGGGTTCCAGATTCTCTCCATATCAAATAATGCTTGCTATTGCTTTCTTGACTAAACCTGGACTCATCCATAAAGAGAACAGCCTTCCATTGATCAAGTGTCCAGTTTTTAAATTATAGTAAAAAAATCATAGTTGTGTTGTAATTGCTGACATCTTTTACTCAAATAGCTTTTTTTTTAAAGTTAATTCATTTGTCTATTACATGTGTTTTGCATTGTCTTTAATTTCATGAAAGCAGTTAAGATACAGCTTATATATGGCTGTATATACTAATTGACTTTTGATATAATGTATTTCAAATGCTAATAATATATTAATATAATTTTGTTACCATAGCTGGTAATGTATTTTAATTTTGTCACACACTTCAGTGCGACTGTCGATCGAAGATGGTGACGAAGACAATGATGAAGACTATGTTATAATGACTCCGGAAGTAAGTTAAAATATATCCATAATACATAAAAGCTTAATAATGAGACAGCTTGGATAAATAATTATTTTCCACTAAAAATATTGACTATTTTTTATTTCTTTAAACTGTAGTAATTTTCCTAGTTTTTTGTCTATTATGTGTATTATCTATTCTGCTATTCTGTTTTACTTTTTTTTTAATATTGAAAGACAAATTATTATAAAATTGCTCAGTTTTTAAGTTACAATTTATCTATTTTTGTTGCTTCATTTCAAGACTACATTGCTTGATTTGAAATTGGAATGCCATAATATACTCGTACATTTAAAAAGTTTGCATCAAATGCTTGTAGGACAATTCTTTTTTAAATTAAAAAAAGAGATATATTGCTACTGTGGGAGTGGCATGCAATAAAACTTGCACATGATTGCTCCAACTCTTTTGCTATTTCGTGGATTCCGTTTGTTATAGTCTTATCTGTAGGTACATATACTTAAAAACTTAAGGATCTTCGAAAGGCCACCCTGATCAAAGACCTGGGGCTGTTTGCTCCTCCCCCACTGCACTCCTTTTTGTATACCTTTGACTCTCAAATGACAGAAACTAACACAGATAGTTTGTTTTAAAACAAGAAATCACATTCTGATGACATAGAAAAATAGTTTGTTTTAAAACAAGAAATCACATTCTGATGACATAGAGAAATTGTAGAGTGAAAAATATTGATATATATATATATATATTTGAAAAAGAAATGATATTTTCAGAATCTTACAGAATTTGTGTTCTAGAAAAAACACTGTTAAGTTCCAGTGTTGTCTCATATCAAACTTTTAACATTTTTTCCTTAAATTAAGCAATAAAAATTTTGTAGTGTAACGAATTTCTTCCTGTGGTTATTAGATTTTGGTTCTAAAGTAATAAAAGTGTATGGCAATATTAATAATCCATTTCTAATGTAAAAATCAAGAGAGAAGGGAAATACACCAAAATAAAACATAAAATCGGGCAAAGCAACACCTTTGTGTTTATGTTAAACACAAGGTTGTTGCTTTGCCTAATTTTTTATTCCTAATGTTTTAAAACTTCTAAATTATTCGCATGAAAATTTGTTTGGCGTACTATGTATAGTAGCAATATAATGCCATTAGTTGGCATGTAATTTACTTATTAACCATCTCCTCCGAGCAAGTAGAAAAGGCATTGAAAATTGCGAATTATGAAATTAAATACTTCATTTTATTTTATCTTAATTTTCTTATAATCAGCCTAAGATTTCTTAAAATATAACTGTAGAGATGGGAATTATAAGGAATTTTGCTTAACACAGTGTTTATATGTATATATATGTCACTGGCAATGCATAAAACGCTGAAATTCTGTGTAATATGTAAGTATATTATACAATACTAAAAGTTGACTGGTAATGTAGGAAATGATTAACATTTCTCACATTTCCTAGGCATTCTATGAATTGTCAAATAACAAATGACAAGTGTGAAATACATCTCCAATTTGTTTTGAATATCATGTGGCTAGGCATGTGACTTTTAATGCTCTCCTCATGCTCAGAATTTGAATTTTGTGCATTGTTTGCAAAAATTTAGTTTTGTACTGTGCTGCATGAAAATGGAAGAGCAAGATGTAGTATTAGACTGGGGGAAAAATTCTGTATGTTCTCATGGAAACTGGGATGCTGTGGATTGTTTGAGTAACAGTAACAAATGCATTCTTTGGAACTTTAGAAGGATTATGCCTGTAAAGGTTCAGATCTTTTCCTTGTAATATAACAGCAAATGGTTATGTAAGTAGAACATATTTTTCTCATGTAAAATCTGAAATATATTTGTAATGATTATGGATTATTTGTTTGTAATATGACATTAAGTAATTATGTAAACAGAATATATTTTTCTCATGTAAAATCCCAAAGGAAATATCTGTAACCATCACAGGCTATTTGCTTTGATTGCTACTGCAATTAATTATGTGATTAGAGTGTGCTTTTCTGAAGTAAAATCCCAAAGGACGTATATGTAAAAGTTACAGATTATTTCCTTCTAATATCCCATTAAGTAATTATGCATGTAGAATATATTTGCCATTGGTGAAATACTAAATGATATGTCTATAAAGATAATAGATGTTTTGTTTAAAATTATGCTTTATATAATAAAATATATTGGATTCAGTATGTTTGAGTAAATGAATAGTGTGTATGTATAGAGAGAGAAAGTAAGAAATTTAAAACCCATTCTGCACAACAACCCAAAAAGAGTGAAATTCAATACTAATAAATTTAAAATATTTGATAAATACAGAATGAGAATTAAAGAAATATGAAATTAAAACCTAAAAATAAATAAATAAATAAATAGGTCTTCAAAAAATTTTTGAATGAGCTGTTATATTTAAAAAACTTTAGAGTAGTTTATCAGCTTATTTTGAGTGCAGAACCGTAAATGTTTAGAAGTGGGAAGAGGATTGTAATTGGATCTGATGTATCCTCCTCTTGATAATGTTACGTCAGATCTAATTGAATTACTCTCTATTTTCTCTGGTATTGGTGTACTTTTGGAGATATTTATTATCTTTAGGTTTTAATTTTATCTTTTTTTAATTCTCATTTGGTATTTGTTGCATATTTTAAAATTTATTTGTACTGAATTTCACTTTTTTGGGTCTTTGTGTGGAACGGGTTTTAAATTTTTTATGTCTAAACTGGCCTATTTTCATCAGCATATTGCATAAAAATACTTTCAATAATTATGTTTTTAATAAAAAAAACTTTTTGTGATACATATATGCAAGGGAAGTTTAGCAGTTTGAACTTTTAAATTAGCCAATTCAATCTCAGAATAGCAGTAATTTGAAATATGTGATTTCAACAGCATTCAAAATGTTTCTTTTCAAAAGGAAAGATTATTCTGTTGCAGAGTACTTTCATTTTATGATAGAAAATTTATGTAATTGAAAGATCTGAATTTTGATTTATTTATTTATCACCAATCTGAAATTGAATTTTGCATTTATTTAAAAGTAATTTAATTGATATGCTATGATTAATTTAATGGATATGCTACTTCTTATATTAAATTATATATATATCCTTTACATTAAATAACAAGAAGGCATCTGAAAATTACATTTGTCCTGTAAAATAGTTGGGGTGGGTGGGAGACAGTATGCCTTATTTGTATGTTCTAGTGACAATTAATGACATATGTTCTAGAACTTAACTCATTAATCTTAACTGAAACAGACAGACACTACTTTAAATTAACCTATTTGAGTAAACATGTTATATATTGATATAATTACATTATTACAATAAAAGAGTATGTGAAATATTTCTATGAAGAACTCACAATAGTTATTCTTAATGTTTCAAAAAGATTATATTCTGGCCTTCTAAAAAAATGGTATTTTCAGTAAAGGCTACAACACAACAGTGAACTTCATTTTGTTGCCACAAGGTATCCAAAATTTTGTTTGTATGTTTGAATTCCATCACCCAACTAATCTTTTTATTCTTAGTCTGTTACTGTTTGAAATAGTAGATGGTAGTTCTGTAAATTTTTTACCGTATCTCCAAACAATTTCCTTTAAATTAATAGATAGAATTCTTTCATTGAAAACATAATGTCATGCTTTTTGAGTGAGCACAAAACTTCACCAACTGACCTAAATTTTTTCCACTTTGCTTCCATTAAAATTCTTCGTATTTAATATATTCAAATTATGCTTTTAACAAATTTTTTCAAAAATTACTATTTCACTTTAGCTTAAAATTTAATACATTTTATCTCCAAGTTAGTATTTGCAATGCAGCCAAATTTAACCAGTTTGTTGTCACTTTCATACTAAATCAAGTTACAAAATTAATTTTAAATTTGAAAAGAAATCACTGAAACAAATCTTACAAATGAATTAATTATTCTTGGAATATTTTAATCCATAAAAACATCCCTTTTTGTTGAGTAGTTCAAACTGCTCTTATTATTTTTCAGTTAAAACCTTTGAAATTTTTAAAGTTATGCAATAATGCTCATTTTTATTAATATGAAATAAAATGAAGTTTTTGAATAAAAATTTTATGTATTCGAAGTTCAGTAAAGTTACAATTTCTTTATATGAAAAATTAATTTAATATTTTCAATATAAAATAAACACATGAATTTGCATGTATAAGCTAAGCACTGTTGATGCAACAATCGAGTTTCATACCCTGGAAACAAATATTGCTGGTAGATGAATTTTCAAATGCAAGACCTGTAAAATACAATTCAACTCATACCTAATATATTAAATTACATTTAGTGCAAAAATCTGAAGTTAGTATGCACTATATTTTTGAATAATGACTTTCACTACACCTAATTATTTGATTGTAATTATAGCTATTAAATCCTAAAAATTAATTAAAAACAACAAATTATCAAATTAAGAAAAATATGTTAAGCAAAAAAATGAAGGTCTATTAAATCAACAATGGATAGAAATAAAAGATAGCATTTTAAAAGTATGTACATAAGTTACTCAGTTGCCTTTTACATATTTACACATGTATTCCATAATTACAAACTTTTTTATCGCATTTTGTGCATTTATTTGGCTATGTTGAATTTAAAGTGCCTTTCATTTTATAAACTTGCTTACATAGTTTATTAAGGCTTCTTCACATTTTCTGCCTCTTTGATATTGAATTTATTTGATTTTAAATTGCATGCAATTCCACTGATTGTTAAATAATCTTGTTTGTTATCAAGTTATAATGGTAAAGAACTTCTAAAATAAAATAAATTCATAAATTAATCATAATTCATAAATTAAAAGACTTTACTTTTCCAACTCATTTTTAGATATTTGTTTACTGCAACACCACTACATTAATCCCTTTATGATACCTCAAACTGCAAATTACAAATTGTGAGATTAAGTTTGCCAGTTCTGATAACTAAGTTGATTTTAAAAAGAAAGTACTGTCATTGCATAGGGGGGGAAGAAGAGAGAGAGAGATTTTTCATTTTTTCATAATTACATTCCTCTAAAGTTGTATTATTTTCATTCTGTGGTGAAAAATGACACTCATCTTTCAAATTGTAAAATGGTACAATTTCTCACATTTCTTGCGTTACAAAATTGCATATTAACCATAGTTAAAGTATATAATAGGCATCACAAAATTTCCCATAAATTTCTAAATGAAAGGTAGGAATTTTCAATATAGACTGCACAATCAATATTTATTTCAGAAAGTGTTAGAAATTTTGCCTTTCTACTTTCTTAGTTATCTGCTTCTGAACTTTTAAATGTTTCAGAGAAGACAATGATTTATTTCTTAAAATTAGTGTTAATATCTAATAATATAAAAAAATTATAATAAAGTATCGGAATAATTACATACAGATATGGTTTAAGGAAAAACGTAAATGTGACATTGCCTTTTTTATGCACAAATTATTAAAAGATTCATTTCTGTCCAGAAACAATATAATTTAGAAAGTGATATTAAAAAAGTATTCCTAATTATTATAAATTTCAAAATTAAGAAATATACATATAACAACAAAAAGCAAATTTTAGGCCATATTCATATTACAACGTTATTCATATTACAACATGTTAAGAAAGTTAATTCAATTTATAATTTTGTTGTGAAAATATTTTACTAGTACATTTAAGTGGCAAATAATATGCGTATAAAAATACAGAAGTAAAAATAATTTATTACAGTCAAAAGTCGTTAATCCGGACTCTTCGGGACTTCGGTGATTCCGGATTATCGATTTTTCCGGATTATAGATCATCAGTTTAAATCTCGTAAGATGGCATGCAGAAATTCTAAAATTAAAAATATGAAACCGTAATTTATGAAATAAAGAACAATTATCATCTAAAGGGTATCAAAATTTGCAAAAAGAAAAAGCTTAATATTTATTTGTTTACTTTATTAAACATTTCTTTCAATGTAAGTTGTTTAAGTTTTGCTTCGTTTCATGTGATAATACTTTCTCTTTAATTCTATTAAACAGACATAATTTCTTGTTTCAGTTACAAAGTTCCGCCGTTCAAGTCCTATAATTGCTGTGTCGAGAATACCGACTAATTTGTCAATCGAAATTTTTTTGTTTTCAATAACCTCTCTGTCACTTTTCTTCACTATCGGAAGCGAATTATAATGACGAGGAACTTGATTTAAATCATATCAAAGACGGAGCATATCGAGATGAATAACTACTTTTGGTAAGGAATTATAAGCCAAATAAAATAAAAACATCTGCCCTGAAGATAAGGATAGTGCTGACAAATCAACTTCCAATTCATTAGGCGCCCGCCGCCCTGCCGCAGAGCAGGTGAAATTGATAAACAGATTTCTGATTTCAAAACATACTTTCGCTTTGTAGATCCTTTACATATTAACAATATATATCGGAAATTCTATTTGACATAATCGAAAGTTTAAGCTTACTTTTATAAAATTGCTCTTACAGTCTGCAAAAAATAATAAGCCGGATGCAATTCGAAAATTAAGGAACAACGCAATCATCAACATTAACTGAAATAGATAATTAGATAATTTTAGCTTATACCGTCCATTATACATAAAATGCGCATGCGTAAACGTATTCTGCACTTGCGCACACTCATATGCGCAGTCGTAAAAGGTCTTACGTGCACGCGTGAACGCTTCTGCGCATGTGTCAACGTGGCACATGCGCAGAAAGTTTTTAGTTTTGATGTCCGGATTATAGATCATTCCGAATTATGGGTGTCCGAATTAACGACTTTTGACTGT